ATCTGGTTGTTAATTTTCAACTGTTGTTTTTCTTTGGCTTAGTGCATTTCACTGGAGATGTATTTTAACTTAGCAAACAACTGCTGCCGTTTTAAGGAGCTCCTGCAAGCACATCTGCTGTTGGTTCAAGCGTCAGAGCAGAGCTGATGAAAGGGAATGTAGAAACAAGTCTTGGTTATTCTGTGCAACTTCTGTTGGCTTAACTTAGCTGCTGTAGGAGATGTGTTTCAAGCTAAGCTACCCATTATGGCATTGGAAGTTCTGAGGAAGACAAGCAGCTGTGTGAGAGAAGGGCAACATAGAAAGTAACTTCCTGAACTACTGTGGGTATATTGTGAAGTTTTATGTGCTGACACTCTCATTTTCCCCTAGGCTAATCTGCATGCATGCTTTGAACATGATGTAAGCAAGTATCTAATGTTTCTGTGTCACTTACCTTGTGTTCTCCCTCGTCCATATTTTAAATATGTGTATGAAATATTTCCTTTCTGTTCCATGACAATTAATTTTTTGGGGGTCTCCCTCAAGGCTTTTAAATCCACCTATATTTCATAGCCTGTTTTCTTTCATGCTGCCATTCCTGTACTGAAAAGCTCTGTTGTCTCTCTTTACAATTGAATGCAAATGTAATAAAGTGCAGTTCTTCCATGAAGCCTTTTGATCAAGGTGCTCCAATTTCCAGGGAGTGCTTACTTGAGGCAGCCCTGGGCTGTCATGCAGTCTGGCTGCTGTCCCAAGCATCAGCTCCTGCCCATCCCTGCAGAGCCAGCAAGTCAGTGTTCTGATTCCTCAGAAAACTGACGAAGAAGAACTGGTCCAGGTGTGTGCTCTGTGATTTCTGGTCTTGGCTGTAAGAGAGGGGGAAGCTTATCTGTAGGACAGCAATTTGCTGTTCCTAACTTGATGTTCCTAGCCTGTGCAACTTGACCCTGCACACTGTCTCACATGTATCTCTATAAGGGGCAACACTGCTCCTTCACAGAGCATGTTTTCAACACTGTGCAAACATTATAGCATCAGCCTTCTTGGCTTTCCTGGATGGTGTTCTCTAATGCAACTTTCCCGTCTTCTATTACCATCGTTGTAAGGGAATAACCTCCTTTCAGTGGGAGTCATGAAAGCACAGGGGTCCCAATTGGGCTGTCAGAGTCACTCCATAGGCAGATCTGTCTCCGCTGGCTAGAAGGGCAAATGTTCAGTGTAAAAATATCATCATTTGTAGTACCTCATGAAGATTTCAGATTAGATGCATTGAAGTTGCAAAGTCAACACCTTTAGAAGCAAAACAGCTTGCTGCATAATCTTTATACATAAGACGCAGGATATTTTGCTCCTCATGTGCCAATTCAGCCTATTTTTTAAAAGTGGTTGCAGTAATTTTAATGTTCTACTTTAGATCTGACTGCTAAACTGATTATATCATAATAAAATACATAATAAAATACATCTGCATGAATAATATGAATTTATGGTGTTTCTACAGGGACTTTCAATATTAATTTCAGAAATAACTTTGCCAGAGAAGTTGAAGGGTGAATACTAGTACTATATTTCCTATGAAAATCTTACAAAAGTATTAAATATATCTGTAAAAGTTTAAAATGGTAGACCTAGTTTAATCCTAAACTGGTTTCCCTCACAGAAGGTTTTGGAGGTAACGAACAAGGGTTTTGTGAGTCTTTTTATTATCTCATATGTAGAAAGATAGATTTTTGCAAAAATGTACCTTTTTTGGAATTTTTTTTTTTTATCTGTTGGTTGTGGGAATACAAGAAAAACTGTTCAGAGCAGAAGCTGTGGAGCAAGATAAACAGCATGAGAACCAAGGACACCTGTAGAAGAAAGAACGTCTCATGGCTCTGATTGGATAAGCACCTGTGTGAACGGTTGAAGAGCGTTTTATAGAGTGCTCTCTTGACATGTAAAGGTGGATGGGAAGGTTGTAGGAGTGGATGGGAAAGCTAGGAAAAGAAAACTTGTGAAGATATATAAGTGATGTGAGAACTTGTAATAAATGATTTGGATCATTTACATCTGAGTCTGTGCATCAGACGCTGCGGCTGGTCAGTGTAAAACTTCATTTTGCTTACCCCTGATTATCATGCATATTGAGTGAACTACTGTTCTAAAATATTGAATACAGGAGTAACATTTGCACCTAACCAGAGAATTGAACAGTGTCTCGGGTAGTTGTTTTTGCTCAAGAACAAAATGTCTGCACAAAGAAAGCAGATGAAAGCTTGGTGTTGAAAAGGAAAGATGGGACAGATCAATTAACAACGGACAAGTAATTGGCTAATTTGAAGAGTTATTGCTAAATAACTTCCCTGCTAAAAGAAGAGTTATTAAATGATAGTTTTTTCCTTCCTGTGCTCAGGGGTTTAGAAATGCATCCGTCACTCACTAACCCAAATTCCAATTCAGCTAGACAGAGGTGAAAAAATACCTGGCACTCAGATCTCACATCCTGAAAGCTGTGTCCTGCCACTCAAGAGGAGCAAAACCAGTTGTGCACTGTTTGTGACCATCCTTTAGTTGTAAGATAGTGTCAGTCAGATTTGTCTTCCGTCCTTTGCAAATTATAATGCTTATCTCTTGTGCTTTGAATTTTCTTCTTTCCCTGCGTGACTTGACTTTTTTTCTTCTTTGACTACTGATAAGAGGACACTATTCCTTTCCATTATATGCAATGCTTCACCTGAAATTTGTGATGTTTATGACCTTTTCTTCATTTTGCTTGCTTTCTTGATAGTTTATTTGCTTTTACACCACTGTTTTTTGGTTTTGATTTATTTTCCAGGTTTGTCTCTCCAAAATCCCTCTTTCTTTCAGTATGATGATTTCTGTTTTTAATGCATCGTTTTAGTTCTCACTTTCTACCTGCTGAGTAGATGGTTAAACGAAAGGGGAAGGGTGTCCAAGAGTTTGTGATGGTCCCATGACCTTGCATCCAGGTCCTCAGGCCACCTCTCACTGTGGGATGTAAGATATAATGGTTTCATCCTTTGTCTTTTACCTGAGGTAATTGAGTTCAGAAGTTTGTAGAATTATTCCTTCTTTCAGACTTGCTTTTAAGATAATCTTCTACTCCTTCCTTTAGTTTTGTGGTTGCTAAAAAAGAAATTGTCTCTTTTTCCAAAATTTCCATTTTGAATCCTCCAGCAACTTTTTCCAGTTGTCATTCATCATTTCCATACTGAGCGAGGAGACTACTGACTTGATAGTTTTCACTGCTACATTGACAACTCAAGCTAAAATTTTCTGTGCATGGAGCAGTGGGTTAGTCAGTGAGCAGTGGAAGAGAAACCAAAATGGGAAACTCACAAACTCAGGAAGGTGTGCCTTCATTTGCTTATTCACACTTGAATTCTTCACAGGCATTTGAATGGGAAACTCCTTTCAGTTTTAAATTGTAAAAAAGTAATTTCTGTGAATTTGAGAGCTTCCAGAAGAAGCTTCTGAATTTCTGTAGCCAAGTTGCTTTTCAAAGCCTTGCAGCATATGTTCACACTTGTAATTTCAGCTGTATCTGTGCATCTAGTGCATTTGGTCTGCCTTTGGAGGAAATTCAGGGTACAGTGGTTAAATATGACCAAGTGTGCTGTTGTCTTTCCTGTGATGGTCGCTTATACCTCTTTATCTGACGTGAGCTATTTATGCATAAAGTACCCAAGAGGGTGCATTAGAATAAGTTGTAGATGTGCAAAAGACCACACATTGCTCTTCTAAATCATTTGAAAAGTTTCTGGTGTATTTTTCCTAAACCCATGTTTTTAAAAATGTAAAAATCACAGCCATCATGTGAGGCTAAATAGATTTCTTCAGCTTTTTTCTTATCTGAGGTTGTTGACCTCAGGAGAGGAGGAGAAGGTTACAGGGTCAAAGTCTTTTCCTCCTTGGAGCTTGCTGCTTGCTGGGAGAGGGTTGGCTGGAAAATAGATGTTTTAGAAAAAGGGTTGAGGGTCATGATTTTAATTCTGTTAGGGAACAGCTGGTTTGAGTTTCTTTCCACTTCTGTCTTCCCTCCCTTCCTCACAAATCCGTAGAGAGAGAAAAATTTGTTCAGAGGAAAGCAGTAACACAAAAATAAAGGATTGCAATATTTTCATATTTAAAATAGATTATGTTTGTTATAGGATTTCACATTAAGTGAGAGAAGAGGAAATTATTAAAGTAACTCAAATCCATTATTGTTTCAAGCATTGAATTGAGATTGATCTACAGTGCCAGAGGTCTGTTTGTTTTCCTGCCAAATGTTGAAATCGTTAATAGCAATGTTTTTATTGGATAAACAATATGCATTATGATTTTTAATTTAGTGATGGACAAAGCTAATTATAAATGTGCCGTGTTAGTTTGCATACAAGTCACTGAAGAAGGATGGTTTGATCTGGCTATTTCTGTTTGGATTTTCTTCATCTTTGCATGCTGCTTTCATGCACTAAGACCAAAGAGAGAGAAGGAAACTCACAACTCTCAAATGAATGGCAAACTAGGAACAGATTTTTCGTCTGCGCTCCTCTGAAACACTGGCCTCAGGCTGTGTTGGTGTGTGGCTCAACAGCAATCAGAGGTCATAATTTCATTGGCGGTTAGCATCAGGTTTAATTTTTCTAATATGTTACATTTACCAAAATGTCTGGTTTCAGTTACACTTATGCACTGACTGAATCAGCTTTGAGCAGCATGATGTTTTAAGGTACCTGAAAGGCTACAAGAACGTTTATGGAACACATATGCTAATTGTTTTTAACCACTTTCCTTTCTAAACACAAAAACGTGTTTTTGGAAAGCCATTTAACAGTAGTAGCTAATGATGGTGTGCGTTCATACTAAGAAATGAGTGCAAGGTAGAATAGTTGTTTTAACAAGACTGCCATCTACTGATTTCCACAATTAAAAATATCCCTGATGAATAGATTGTTCCCATTTTTTTTGATAGCTTTATTTTTTAAGATTTGCAAGATCAAGAAAATCCTAAAGTCTTTCTGTCGCCTTAGGAATGCGACCAGGTTCACATCGATGACGTGTCTTCGGATGACAATGGTCAAGACTTAAGGTACGAGAGAACTGAAAAAGATGAAATGTTGCTTTGCATGCTTCTCCCTTTGAAAGCGATAACTGCTGTAATGCTTACAGTAGCACATTGTCTTCTTAGCTATTTTAGCCTTTCCAACCTAGCAGCGAGTAGCTGGTGGCTGAATGTAGCCTGTTGTTTTTTGTTAATTTGGGGGTTTTCTTATCTCCAAATAGCACCTATAACTTTGGAACGGATGGCTTTCCCGCAGCTGCCACCAGCGCTAATTTGTGCCTCGCGACGGGGGTGCGTGGAGGAGTGGATTGGATGAGAAAATTGGCATTCCGCTACAGACGAGTAAAAGAAATATATAATACCTACAAAAACAATGTTGGAGGCAAGTGACTATGAAGCATATAACAGATATAAATGAGAACCAGTAAAAAGGAAGGAGTTCTATGTTGTTGTTTTTTGCACTGTATGGGAAGTTGTATCTGAACTAATGAAAGCAAAGGAAAATGACAGAATGTCACTTAATTTCGGTGCAGACATGCCCTTATCTACTCCGCAGGTCTTCTTGGTCCAGCAAAAAGAGAGGCTTGGCTACAACTAAGAGCAGAAATTGAAGCTTTGACGGATTCTTGGTTAACACTTGCACTGAAAGCACTCACCCTTATTCATTCAAGGTGAGTATGGACAGGGTAGTTACAGAACGTAAGGATGTCTGCTGTTGATTTAGAAGAGGCTGCCTGGTCTCGTGGACATAATGCTGCTATGGGGGGACCTTCTTATCATTCCCTGTTCTTATCTGACTATGATGTTCTGTACCTTGCTCTCCTATAATGCAGAGAATAGTAACTTTCTTTGAGAAGTGTCAATAATAATAGTGAAGGGTTCTGATGGGAGGGATAAGATTTTTCTTGTTTTGTTTTGTTTTGCTTTGCTTTGTTAAAAAGGATATTTGTGTTTTCTGTTCCACAGGACAAATTGTGTGAATATCCTTGTAACAACTACACAACTAATTCCAGCTCTGGCAAAAGTCTTGTTGTATGGATTAGGGGTTGTATTTCCCATAGAGAATATTTACAGTGCAACTAAAATAGGTGAGCTATTTTTATAACGTTGTGCTATCTTTGAAACAATGAAAGTAGTCTAAATAAAAAGTGATTGTAGTTCACATTCTTGAATATATATATTTAGAAGCATACAGGTTAATGTTGTATCTCAGAAAGGACATTTCATGCTAAGGCATCATAAAAGCGCTTTGCAGAGAACCTCATATAGCTCTATAAACACAGATGCAGCCTCTGTTAGGAGGAAACGTAATCATTTTTTGACACATTTTCTCAAAACCGTGAGCGTATGTAGCAATGTAGGTGTTTTTGTGGTAGGCTGTCCATAGAGACCCACGCAGTCACCTCAGGTTAACACAAGTAATTCTGTAAAGGTAGACCTGGCTGCATTCATTTTCATGTGTTCTGGAGCAAATTTTGGTAAACAGCTTACCAGAAGCAAGAATGTTTTGCTGCAGAATGTAATTATTTAAGTTTATTCATACTGACTGTAATAAGCTTCAGCCAGGCTGAATGTTTATTTCTGTTTTCTGGTTCAGTATAAAAGATGTTATTCTGAGTATGTAGAAATACATGGTACCAGATGGCAATGGTGCTTGTAATTTTTAACATGATTATGACGTATCTGTTCTGTCTCAGATTCCCTCAAAATTGTTGGCAACATGAAAACATTTTTCATGTGTTCTTAAGTATCTGTAATACAGGAAGCTCAAATGGCCAAGAAAAAATGGTGGGTTATTTTTGTTCGGTTTTGTTGTTGTTTTTTTTTTTAAAATACCTTGGTTGAGCATTTTATGTAGAAATTTGAAAGCATTACTGTAAAAGATTTAAAACCATTTCTGGGATGGAAATGTGGCTCTATCTGACTGTAGAAACTTTCTGAGTTAGAGCTTTCAATTTTAATACTTCAAATTCACATTTTAACTGAAGAATTGTAATAGATATTCACTTATGACTTTAAGTACTCGGAGCAACGAGTACTTTTGGAATACTGTCTTCGGTCACTGACTGTCACAGGAAATCAGGAGATTTTTGTAATGTGGCACGATTCATGATTTTCCAGCACCGTTTTAACCTAGTTAGTATTGCAGGTTCCTTATGCCTGGTGCTAATGTTAAAGGGTGTCATTGAGTAGTGTGGTTTCTCTGATGACAAAAAATCTTTTTTATATTTCCAATCCATTTGCTCTTATGCTGGTATTGTCCTGTAGCTGAAATAATTATTTTGAAAAACACAACTTTTCCTGTTTTTGGTCTAGACATGCAGTAGGTACACAGGTAAGTGTGCATTTTGGCCAGGCTGATCTGATCTTTCAGATTGATAGCATTTAAGGAAACTTGACTGTAGGCATTTACTTACCTTCTGGCTTCCCAGTGTCGATGCCTGAAACACTGTACAGAACTGGGATCATTTCCATAGGTCTATGCACTGAAGTAATGAGCTACGTTAATGGATCCCAGTGCAGGATCAAGGACCTTGACCATGTATTGGATTACAGGCATTTAAACCTAAATCTTTTTTGTGACCTCCTAAGTCAGGATACTACTGTTTCAGGAGCTGTGATTAATCTTGTCACAGGTTGCAGAGAAAAAGCTAGAATTTCTACTCAGAGTTCTCCTGGTGGGGGAATCCCCTCCAAAACATGTCTCAGATTAGTGCAGGAGACGAGAAAGGTGATACTGCAGACCTGTGGTACGCTACATCTACCATGTCGTGTGCATTAAATGACCTTTCAGAGCGGATTTGAAGGCTGCCTGTAAGCTGTTCTGGCAGGAACAAAGCTGCAATAAGCCTGGGTGCACCATCCTGCAGGAGAGGCTCTTCTCTGTTCTCTCGCAGTAATTATGTATTAAAGTGTTGGGAAGGTCCAGGCTAATTTAATAACAAGTGATTTGGTGATATCTCCTCACCACTTACCCTTTTTAGTTGGTTGTTTTTTGGTTGTTTTTTTTTTCAGGAAAGGAAAGTTGTTTTGAGCGAATAATTCAAAGATTTGGAAGAAAAGTAGTGTATGTGGTTATAGGAGATGGTGTCGAAGAAGAGCAAGGCGCTAAAAAGGTAATAGCACTTTTTCAGGATTTCAAGACTCTAAAAGCAAAATTGTCCTTTCTTACATATGCAACAGTGTGTACTGGCATTTGATTTTAGTATCTTTGCTTTATGAAATATAATGTTTTGATCATATCTGGTAGAAAGCTGCATAAAACTAGATAATGATGTGCCCCGCTGTTCTCCAAAAGACACATTATGCTAGCTATGTATATTTGGCTTATTTCAGAAAGGAGCCAGAAAATGGGTCCTGGTTTTTGTGCCAAGAACTAATAGTTCTGTTTTCATTGGCATCCCAAAATACCACATCGGATGTTATGAATATAAGCAAAAAATGGTGATTCTTACTGATCAAAGGCAGTGTGAAATTTGACCGGATGAAATACATATGTGTCACACCTTGAATATGCATGTAGGTCTGGAGTAGTTTAACAGTTTTCTTGTGGGACCATAACTTGGATTCTGTATTCAGGTAAATACTCATGTCTTATCCTGCATTCATAACCTCAGTAAATTGAGCAGAGGATGCAATTTGCATGTCTATTTATTATTTTTTTCCCTGCCTCTGGGAGAGAGGGGGAAAAATACATTTTTTTCCCAGTGTGGAGTAAGATCCATAGAAAGCAAAACTTCCCACTGGCAAATAATAGCCTTGCTCATCTACCAGAAGAGAGGTAGATACAGAGTCTTTACTTGAAGGGAAAAGGCATAATTTTGGCTATTTGAGCAATAAGAGAAAGAGTAGGAAAATGAGCATTTCAATTACTTCTTCCCTTTAAAGGTAAATTGCTTTGACACAAGTTCACTTTTAGCACAAAAATATCTCTGTGGTGCTTCTATATCTGTTTCCACTGTTACTAGATTGGCAGAGTAAAACTAATTAGTTCAGATGACATTTTACCAGATGCACTGCCGACTGGTTTTGCTTCTGAAATCAGGGATTTGTGCCCCTGGAGCACTTCAGGCAGGTTCCCGGCTCGTCCCGGCACTTTGCAGAGCATCAGTTTCATATATCCCTTTGGCGGGCGGACGGGAACAGTTTGCTTCTTTTTCCTTCAGAAATGCCTTTCATCTTTGCAGAGAAATGTTTTCCCGCTGTAAATGATTACATTTTAAAAGCTGCATTTAAGATCAGGGGAAAAAAAAGAAAAAAAAAATCTTCTTTGTTCCTTTTCTGTTGCTTGGTGAAATAGTGTCGTATATGATAATGGCAGGAGTAGTCCTTTTGGTAACATTATCTAATTCACTGCATTTTTTCAACAGGAAACACGATTCAGAAAAGCATAGGAGAAAGCCCTTCCAGTTGCTAAGAGGTGTAGCAGCACAGAAAGTTCCTTTGTGCCATTGCTTCTGTATATTTTTTCTTATTTGAAGAAATGTAGATTAAAAGCATACTAGAAGAGGCGCTGGATTAAACTGTTTTTTAAAACAATTCCAGAGAAGTCAGTTAAGTACACCAGCAACCTCGCCTTTCTGCAAAAACTATTAATTTGATTAAAGGAAATGTCTCTGTGATTCTTGTCCTGCTCCTTGCTCCTCCTAAAAAGAACTCCCCCTTGCAAGCTGTGAAAGCAGGACTTGGTCCTTGGTTTTGGTCCTTGCATAGTGCCAGAGCGAGAATCACAGAGTACTTGGAGCTAATCTCAGCTCAGATGCATTGCTTTTTGACTGCTCCACAGGTTGTTTTTTAGCATTAGAGGGAGGAATAGGCACAGGAGTATGCCGTAGAGTATATTGTGCTTCACTTCAAAGACATATGCCCTGTCTAATGAATGAGTAGTACTGCTATATTAGAAAACTGTAAAAGCATATACTTTCTGTCGAGTGCTTGCAAGCAAAACTGAGACTACTCCCACAGAAAATGTGAAGCCCATCAGCCAAAACTGACTTAAGTGTCTCATTGCCTTGCTTATCCTCTCACATAGTAGCTTCTTTCCTATTAGCATATTCAATTTTGGGCCTCTTATTACAGGAAAGACATTGAGGCCCTGGAGCGTGCCCAAGGAAGGGCAACAAAGTTGGTGAAGGGTCCACAACCCTAGTCTTAAGGGGAGTGGGTTAGGTGTGGAGAAGAGACTCAGGGAGACCTTGTCACTCTCTAGAACTGCCTGAAAGAAGGCTGCAGTGTGATGGGGGTTGGACTTTTCTTCCAGATACCTAGTGAGGTAATGACCTCAGGTTGCACCAGGGGAGGTGCAGGTTGGATATTAGCAAAAATTTCATCTCAGACAGAGTGGTGAGGCATTGGAACAGGCTGCCCAGGGAAGTGATGGAGCCATCATCTCTGAAGGTGTTCAAGAAGAGTGTAGATGTGGCACTGAGGGGCACGGTTTACTGGTACGGTGGTGATAGGCTAATGGTTGGACTAGGTGATCTTAGTGGTTTTTTCAACCTTTACAATTCTGTGATTCTATGATATTTTCAAGGCAGGGACAGTGTTTATGTCATTCCTTTGTACTGCACTTTGCTGAAGGAGGTTGACCTGTGAAGAAGCCCTTAGTGTATGTACTTTTTTTACTTAGAGCACAGACAGTACACCCTTCTTTAAAATTTAAATAGCCCTTCAATGCCTCATGTATAGTTCATAAAGAGTATATTTAAATGACTGTATAAATTCAAATCTATTTTGTTTTTTTTCTGCTCCTTCAGTGAAAAGAGCTGAACTTCAAGCCTAGAAGATCATACAGTTAAGATTCGTTATTAAAATAACTTACTAATAATTTAGCCAGTTGCTTCGTCATGGGGCAAGGTTTTTTACTGCTATCTGTTGAAAAGCCTGAGTCAATACAACAGCAGAAAAAAGACGCATTTTAGGTCTTTTTTTATTACCATGATAGTAAAAATTTGATGATACATTCTTTTCCATGCAGGTTAAAAGGTCACTGCTCTTTTCAGAAATGTGTTGAGGAGAGATTGGTATTTTGTAAAATGCCTCTCCTGATCGATAGAAATAAATACAGCACGCTGAGGAAACAGCACACTCTTATGTTTCATGTAACACGGGACGAGCCACGGTATCAACACCTTGCCTTAGCTGTCACTTCCTGCAGAATATAAGACAATTAAAATCCTTAGGCTGTTTGCATTACAGGCTGAGGAGAAACCGTACCCTTCTGGATGGTTTCAGGAGGCAGGGCGGCCGCAGCAGCAGAGTTCACGTGGAGGTTGCTACCTTTGGAGAAGAGGGAGAGGGAAAGAGAGGAGAGGCGAGGAGTGCTCAGGGCTGGGTGCTGTGGGGGCACATGTCTGCAGCAAGCCCGGGCATGGGGCTGCCTCCTTCCCTGTGTGTCTGCATGCCTCTGTGGTGACATATGCAGAATCAGTTCCTGGGTTTCTTTGCCATAAACTCCATTGTCTGTGTGGTTTTTGTTGGGAAATATTCATAAGGCAGGGAAAATAAAAACAAAAAACTCCTGAGGTTTCCTACTTGGGAGAATCTTGCAAAGCATTTCTGATTTGCAAGATGAGACAAAAGGAGGAGCGTCTCTTCGTGGAGGAGCTGGATTTTACATCAGGTGATTCAGGAGAGCCTGGGCAAATCAGTTTCTCCCTTTGTCGGGAGAAATGGTCGTTCAGCTTTGGAGGGAAATTGTGAGGAAAAATCATAAATCTTCACAGAGCAATAAATAGAATATAAATGGCTATCCAGTCTGCAACTGCTTTAAAGCTCGCAGTCACACTGTGCTGCTTAGGTTTGGGTAGGAAGTAAAGGCGACCACTTAGCAAAATCTGGCAGAAACACAACAAAAATACTGTGAAAGATGACAGAAACTTATGAGTTTTCAATTCAAATATGTCGCAAATCTCAGGAGTGAGATTTCTCTAGAAATATGAATTCATTTAAGGGAAGAAGGATAGCCTGCAGTTTCCAGTGTTACTTAGTCAAAAAATGATTTTGTTTTGTGCATTTATTGAAGTGCTTTGTTTATTTTGGTGAATACTTGGAGTTTTGTTCTTTTAGTGAATACACACTGCAAATAATACTGCCTCTAGTTCAAAATTTAGATACCTTAGTATTTAGGTTATTGAATAATTTTATAATTACTAGATTTACTAAATGAATAATTTAACTTTTCTTGCTTAAGCCAAACAAGCGCAAAGTGAACCTTCTGCCACCGTATTTAATTTAAGAATAGAATTGAAATGTTCATAGCTTTATTTATTGTCAAGTCTCACATTATTAAACACCTACAACGCAATTCATGCTTTTTAATAGACAAAAGTTTGGTATTTACTTGGAACACAGTGAAATAGTGCACAAAACCTTTGCTTTACTACCAGCCTAGCCATTCGTTCCCCCTATAAGCAATAAGAAAAGCTTTCTCACAGTTTCTTTAGTTCATAATGCATCCAGCAAGGCTGCTGTTTGTTAGCGGTTAGTGTTGGTCATCTGTTCTCGGGCATCAGTCAATGATATATTAGCATTTTTTGGTGTGCTCAAAGTAGAGACACATATTAGGCATGATGTGTGTGCTAAGTGTTGGCAATGAGGGCTTTCTAAAGGTGATTTTTAGTAAATATATATCCACTGAAGCTCTCGTCTGATCGTTTCATAAGAAAAAAAATGAGCCTCTGTCTCACTGTTGACAGTGCTTGTGGATAAGCGGGGCACACCAATACAAGAATTATGCATAAGGCTTTGTTGATCATTTTGTACAGTCATTTATTATATCAGATAAAGTGAAAACTATTGTATATGCCCAGTAAAAACATGCATATATATGGACACATATGCGTGTGAGGCTGCATATACATGCACAGATGCATGCATGTAACTATATATAGATCTGTATCAGGTTTGCTTCCCCTCCTCTTAGCTATGAAGTCTGTGCCGTAGGGTCAGACTGATAGAGATCTGAATCAGCCACATGGGCCCCATGCATGGAGCGCCTATGCAGATTCCAGTCCTCGTGCAGCCGCTGCGTTCCTGGAGTGTTTCATTTCTTGGGAGTGTACGGCTGGTCCTTTGACCTATGCACAGGAGAAATTAAAATAATTATAATCCTGAGATTTACACAACCTCTTTGTTTTTGTGGGACTCTCCAGGCTCTCATTCCACGTCTCGCTGCTATAACTGAATAGAGTAAATGGAGGCGTATTCCTTTAACAGATATAAATAAAGTGCAGAAGACTCTTAAGTGAATTTCAGATTTGCAAAGATACAGCCAGAATAATGATCACTTAAAGTTTGTGTTTTAAACTCCGACCATAAACAGCTGAGAGTAATCCAAAACTTGATATTGCATATGGGCATCATAGCAAGAATCACTGTGATTTGATTTAGCAGAAGCTAAACCTTCTGTGAAAACAATCAGGGTCTTTAACTAACCCTGACGCCTGGTGTGTGTACGCTCTGTGGTGCTGAGGTTGTTACTAGGGAAGCAGTATAATGCTGGTGGAGCTGCATGAGGTGGGGAGCTGGAAGCCAAGAATTTATTACTACAGTTCTCCCTATTCATTAGTTTGCTGTATGTCCTTGGAGGGTTTCCATGTCATTGACTCTTGGCTTCTGCAGAGACACTACTCAAGGGCAGGTGTCCACCAAACCCTGCACCACACTTAGGTATGCTGTTTACACCTCTCTGAGCCGGTGGTTGAGGCAGAGCTGATTCCAAGCTGACAGAGAGAGCAGGTAGGTGCTGCCTTGCACCTGGGCAAGGAGAGGAAAGCTGCAACCACACAAAAATGGAGACAGCAAAACTGAGTACTCTCAGTTGGCAAGCACAGCTTGGATCAGCCGCAAGCAGAAACCGTGCCTGTTTGTCCTTGATGTAATGCCTCTGTCAGATGTTAAATTCTGATCTTGCAGCCTAAAGAAGAGATAGGAACACAGAAGCTTTAGGAGAGCCCAGAAAACGGCATGATTAGGCGATTTTATTTCTATTTGATATTGTTCGTACATTTACTGAGCATGATGAAAGAAATGAAATTTTTAGGAAAGATTTGAGCTGGAAATTAGTAATACCTGACCTGACAGTGCAGAGAGGACAGTCTGTGTAGTATAACAACAGGGTGCTGGGACATGGAGCAGTAACTCAGTGAGCTGATTGCATCTAGTTTCTGCTGCTGCTGCTGGGGTACAGAAGTCTGCACAGAAGATGAAGAAATAGTAGAAGTCATGTTTAATGTTTCCTTCTTAAGGAGAGAAGGACTGTGTAAAGCATTTTGGAAATACTATAAGCATTTATTCCAACAACGTCTCACTTGTCTCTGAATTATTTTTTTTCTCAGCAGCAATGTGGCTCACTTATTTACCTTATCTTAGTCAACTGTATCTTAAGTCTTTGTGACAATCTAAAGTAAAACGAAGCAGAATAGAAACTGATCCAGTCGTGCTTCCTTGTGAATAATTTTGTTTTCTTCATGAATAATTTCTTGGTTCTAAAAGCTAGTTAAACCCTGCATGTGGGCAGCTGTTGACACATCTGTATTACATTTTAATTCAGATCAGGAGTGTTGTATGGAAGGAGACTGTCCCCTTTACTCTGCTTTGGCTAACATTTGTTTTAGGGCAAAAAACTCGATCTCTTTTGGACAGAACTAAACAAGAGGTGCTTACCAAATGCTCTCCAACTGCTAGTAGGTATATTTTCCATAACAGTGGACTAAAGACTAAAGCTGTTCTGAAATGAAAACCCTGAAATATGGACACCTCCATCACTTTGCAGTCCTCTTATTGTGCAGCTCTTTTTGCTAACACCTGTCCTTTATTTGGTGTGCATTTTCCAGATTCCTTGCTGTGTGTGTTCTGCACCACTTTTTAGCCAAGTCTAGCTGATCAATACCATTCCAGCCTCATCTCCTCTGCCTCTTACATGTGCAGCAGTTGATTCATCCTTAGTGGCTGCTTTTTGAGAACAGAGAGACTTGCCACTACTTACCCACTTCCATTTCTTTTAAAATCTGTGCTTTATTCCCCACGTCAAACTCAGTTCATCATCACAATGTTACCTGGATTACAGCGTTGTCCTCCTAAAAATAATTACTATTTATATACAGGCTGGTTTACCTGAGCTCTAGAGATGAATTTATCGCAACCTCTGTGTTAAGGTGTTGGATTGATGGGATAGGTTTTACTCAGATGTGCAGGGTTTACAGTAAATGTGTACCTGGAAACAGAGGGTTTCACATTGTGCTTTTACATTGTTTTCAGAATTGTTCTCTAATTCCTTGAGAGTGAAGGCCTGAATGAGAAAGGGGGTTCAGCATAGCAATGATGATCAGAAGAGGTGTAGTTTTGCTGCTGATTTAAATAGAATTAGGAATTTGCCCAGGAAGTACTGAAGGAGGACAAAGAAAACAGTTCCTGAGAAGCTGTTAATAAAATGCTTGGGGATCCCAGAAACTATTGTGATAGTAAATTGCCTCCTAAAGATGCCAGACACAAGCTGACCCAATGAGATGATGAACACGGTCATGTTTAACCTTCAAAATATTGCTGCATTGAAACTATTTTCCCATGAAATTGACAGAAAATTTCCTGAAGAAAGCTGATGGTTATCTATTTGTATTTATGTGAAAAGTCTTGCTGACAGTTTAATCGCTGTTTTACAGTATAAAGATAGCAAGTATTCTTAATCAGATTTTTACCCTTCATGGATGAGGTAATGTGTACTTTTTCCTGGTAGTTGTGGTTTTGGTTCCTTCAGGTTCTTTGCATGTATGGTTGTGCTCCAGACTGAGATCTTATTACAGTTAATAGGAAAAAAATTTGTTTTTATTTTAAAATTGTCCCATATGGAAAATATGTTTTAAGATCAATGCTAACAATGAGTGATGTTGTACAAACCACCAGGATAAAATTCCTTTCAAAGTGATGTGAGCAACATATGAGCTATTCTGAATCATCTTTCCTGTGTTTATAACTCACCTGCCAGGGAAAGTCTTCCCAATAACAAATATGTTTTGATGGTAAATATTACTTCCATTTATTTTTTAAATATATTTTTAACTAAGTTCTATTCTCTTCCTCAAACTACCCACCTGGTTCATGTATGGAACAGTTTTCTTAATTTTTTTTTTTCCCAGAAAAAAGCAGTTTGTTCCTCAAAATGTTGCAGTCTGTTTTTCTTAAGATCCTCAAGATCTCCTGTCTTCCCTGTTGGCAAATTGGTTTGCTATTATTGATATTATTGACAATCTGTGCTCGAGTGTCAGAGAAATCAGAAATAAGCGTGAAGGGCTCGAGGTTTTAACAGCTCTGAGTTGCTCTCTCCTCACACTGTTACTTTGTTCTTGCAGAAGACAATGGGTGGGTCTGAATACCAAAATGCTTGGGGTTATTTTTACATGTTGTCTGTGCTGTTCACAGCATGCTATGCCATTTTGGAGGATCTCAAGCCACTCTGACCTTATGGCCCTTCACCATGCCTTGGAACTGGAGTACTTGTAGCAGCTCAGCAGCACTTTGAAACCCCAGAGCCTCCTTCTGCCCATGGACGGTATGCCTGTGTCTTGTGTCAGCATTGGACTACAGAACTTTGTGATTTCAACATGTTGACGTACAGCTGCAATTGGTCTTAACCCTTGCCCTTTCAGTAAACGGAGGAGCATGTCTTTTTCTTCAGAACAGCTGTTGACTCTGGTACTGCGAGTCCAACAAAAATAAGCCATGCAAATGTTTTAACAGCTCATCTTTACTATATTTGCTACCAAAAAGAAATGGAGAAGGAAGAAAAAGGAAATAAAGGTTCATACCTGTGAAAAAAGGACCTGCAAATGCTTTGTAGTTTTTAAACTCTTCAATGTGACACACGCCGTTTCTTCAACACAGCAAACTTGATTGCACAATGAAGACTGAGATTTTTCAAAATACCAGTGGAGTAATTTTCTTCTAAAGAAGGTTTACTTTTTGGTTTCTCATACCCAGGGTACTCTGTACATCTTTACTTATTTATGAATAGACTGTATTTTGACATCATATAACTGAGGATATGTGTAATAGGAATAAAGGCTATTATAAGCCTTTGCCTTACGATACAGCAACTACTTTTGATTTTAGCACATTACAGAGTAGTTTAAAATATGTCTAATTTAAACTAATAGGTACATCACTGAGACAATCATGTACAGGAAGAATTTTTGTGTAAATTTGTAATAATGAATGATTCTTTTACATATTGTTAAGGTAAATGCTATTGAAAGATAGTAATGCCTTGTTGGTGAAGAATGAGGCTACGTGTGCACAAAATGTTGTGCAGTGCCTTGTCAACACGTTGGATATAAATATGTAGATAATGGATTTTTTTAGATAAATTTGTCAAGACCAAAAGCATGGATGTCAAGTGTCAATAGGAATTGGGTTTTGTTCTTTTCAGCTATTTCTCTACCTTTTTCCTCTCTCATCTATTCTGATTATGAAAAGATTTTCTTTCCCCCCATTAAGGAAGTATAGATAAAACACAACCGAAGAGGAGTACTTTGCTGTCTTCTGTTTGCTCTCTTAATGCTTTTTTAGAGTATTGACAAATGAATTAGCAGATTCCATAAAGAAATAGAGAACACAGATATATTTTAAGACATGATTTAAACTGGAATCTGAGTACCAACTAGTTTATGTCTCATCCAAAAATAAAGGAAATTATTGTGATCATTATTTTTAGAAATTAGAAATGGTAATATTTTGGAGAAATTGAACAAGATACTCATATACATTTAAGGTTTTTAATCCTCTTCCACCAGGAGTCAGATTTTCCTAAGATATAACATCCATTGCCGGCAATGGAAATACAGAAATAGTTATTGCCAAGGAGTTAAAATTTGCTTTTGTCTATATCCATTTACAGGACAAACCTAGACCGTGTCTGTCTGTGACTTGTGACTTTTCTAATCTTGAAGGCCATGAGGTACTTGATCAGATAAACTGTTAGTCTTACTATTTGACGTGAATTGTACCAATTCCCTTTGCTTGATTCAAATCTCTTCATTAAAAAGAAGCATTGGATTTGTTGTTTCATTCTCCAGCTTTGTTTTCTTTTTTTTTCTTCTTCTTCTTTTTTTTTTTTTTTTCACTAAAAACACCAGCCTTGAAACAACTACCTGCAAAGCCACAAAGCACCAATGTAGTTGCAAAGAAACACCATCCTTTATTGGGGGAATCCTGTTGCTGCTAGAATTAAATGTTTGTGAATTGCTTTATTACCGACAAAGAGGTTTTTATCCTACCAAGACTTTCACATGTGCTTCACTTTACCCAGTGTACTTTATCCAGTATGAGTACTGGAATTCACACGGTACTCACATACATACATGAAGCACATTGTGGATAGTTTTTAAAACCAAGACTATAACTAGCCCTTTCTTCAAGCAAAGTAGATAGTAATAGAGGTTGGTTGTCTTTTTTTTTTTTCCATCTGTTTTCTATATTTAGTCACTTGCAGACTGAAAAAAACAGTTTATCTGGGCCTTATTGTACAAAAAGTGTGTTGTGTCCACAATTGTGTACAGTATTTTTCTTCATTAATTTTGTTTTAAATTAATAAAATTGATTTGTGAACATATTAAACAACTGTCTTGTATGCAGGTCTATGATATTTCTCCGCTCTAGGTCTGTAATGAGGAGACATCTCTCATCTTTTCACTGTCCTAAGACACAAGTTGTTCAACTGTTTGTGCCCACCTGAGAAGTTAAATAGTGTAAAAATATGCACTTCTAGTTTGCAAAAGGCTAAGTTTGATGGGCAGCAGGAGGAGGAGCTAAAGAAGGTCAGAAACATGTAGTAGGACTCGGACTTGGTGCATGCTGTCCTGGAAACGTGTGCCTAAGTGACTGACAAAAAGCAATTGCCTTAATGGGTGCTACAGTGCCTGTTTAGGTCATCTAGATCACACACGCTGTGAATGAATTAGCATGATTATTCAGACATTGCACTCAGGGCTGTAGCAAATCTCTACTCTCTGAGAATCTACAGGCCTGAACATCTATGGGAATTCAAGATTTGAGACTTGAAAGGAAGCTGGTGGACAGTGGTGCCCACTTTCTTGTCTAATGAGATCTGGTTTTTGTTGTCACATTGAAATATATCTTCAAAGGGAAAGATGGACAGTCTGGAAAATACAAGGCTTAATTAAGACAGGGTTTGTGTCTTTTCAGAGCGAAAGGGGATTAAGTCTGCAAAACTTCCTTTTTGAACTGCTTGTCTAATTACAACAGCAGTGACCAAACAGAGTGCTTTGCACCAATTCCCAGCACGTTGCAGAATTAACTGATGTCTGCCATGTTATCTGGGGCACTAGGAAAAATGTGGGTCCGCTGCTGAGTGAGGTGTGTGCCCTAGCCATGAAGGACACTGAAAAGGAGGAGTTACTGAATGCCACCTTTGCTTCAGTCTTTACTACTAACACTAACTGTCAGGAATCCCAGTCCGTGGAGTTAAGAGTGAGAGTGTGGAGAAAGGAAGACTTCCTCCTTGTTGATGAGGATGTGGTCAGAGATTGTTCAGGCTAATTCAGTACACAGATCCATAGGCCCTAACAGGATGCATCCACGAGTGCTGAGAGAAATGGCAGAAGTGATTGGTAAACTGCTGTTATCTTTGAAAGGTCATGGAGAATGGGAGAGGTGCATGAAGACTGGAGGAAATCCTATGTCGCTCCTGTCTTCAAAAAGTACAAGAACAAGTGCCTGGAAAGCTACAAGCCAGTCAGCCTCACCTCCATCCCTGGGCAGGTGATGGCATAGCTTATTTTTGTTTTCATCTCTGAGCAAGTGGAACAGAATAAAGTTATCAGGAGTAGTCAGTGTATATTTGCCAAGGGGAAATCATGCTTGACCAATCTTGTAGCTTTCTGTGATGTCATGGCTGGCTGGGTAGCTGAAGGGAGAGCAGGTGTTTTCTGCTTTGTCTTCAGCAAGGCTTTTGACACTGTCTTCCGTAACATCCTTGTAGGTAAGCTTAAAAAATGTGGGATAGATGAGTGGACAGTGAGGTGGATTAATAACTGGAAGACTGGCAGAACTCAGAGGGTTGTAATCAACAGCACAGAGTCTAGTTGAAAGCCTGTAGCTATCAATGTTCCCCAGGGGATGGTACTGGGTTCAGCATCTCAATATTCAAAATCTTCATCAGTGACCTGGATGAAGGGATAGAATGCCCTCAGCGAATTTGCTGATGGTACAAAGCTGGGAGGAGTGGCTGATGCACCAGAAGGCTGTGCTGCCATTCAGCAAGAGCTGGGCAGACTGGAGAGCTTGGCAGAAAGAAATTGTACGAGATTCAGCAAGAACAAGTCCTACATCTGGAGAAGAATAATCACACATCAGTACAGGTTAAAGCCTGACCTGCTGGAAAAGAGTTCTGCAGAGAAGGAGCTGGGTGTTCTGGTGGACAATGCGTTGGCTATAAGCCAGCAGTGTGCCCTTGTGACCAAGAAGGCCAATGGTACCCTGGAGTGCATTGAAAGGAGTGTGGCCAGCAGGATGAGGGAGGTGATTCTCCCCCTTTGCTCCGACCTGGTGAGGCCACATCTGGAATGCTGGGTCCAGTTCTGATCTTCTCAGTTCAAGAAAGACAGGGAACTTCTAGAGAGAGCCCAGTGGATGGTCACAGAAATATTAGGGTCCTGAAGCATCTTTTGTATGAGAAACCTGGAACGGGTCAGCCTGGAGAAGAGAAGACTGAGAGGGAATCTTACCAATGCTTATAAATATCTAAAGGGCGGGAATCAGGTGGATATGGCCAGGCTCCTTACAACAATATTCAGTGACAGGACAAGTGTCAGTGGAAACAAACTTGAACATAAGAAGTTTTGTATGAACATGAGGAAAAACTTCTTTACTTTGCAGGTGACAGAGCACTGGAACAAGCTGCCCAGAGAGGCTGTGAAGTCTCCTTCTCTGGAAATATTTAAAACCCACCTGGATGCTTTTCTGCTCAACCAACTGTAGCAGCCTGCTTTAGTAGGGTGGATGGACTGAATGATCTCCAAAGGTCCTTTCCAACACCTATGATTCTGTGGTTCTGTGACACTTGATCCTACTGGTGCCTGAGGAACTGGAATTGCCTGGTCAAGCCCTTAGAATATTTAGAAGAAACTGCTACTTTCAAGCTTCTACTGGCCATGGGAGCAAGCTGGGAACTATGACTGAGCATCTGTAAAGAGATCAGACAACTAACTATAAGAAACTTGAACTGATAGATCTGATGATTTTGGAAGGAAGAGTTGTGTTGCAGCATTTGTCTATGTCCCACTTTAAGTTACATAAATTATTTCTGTGTCTAGCCTTTGGCATCTCCCTCTGTCCTGTAGGAGAGGAAAATAGCCTGAAAATAAAGGTTATAGGCTACAAGCAAGTCTGTAAGTATTACCAGTCTCCATGTTCCAAACACCTTTCCGTTCTTGTATCCTTTTCCTTCCATACAACAAATGTTTACTTCGGTTTTGCTGCAGTGTGGCTTGTTCTTTGGTAGTGCAAGATCTACAGTCCCACCACATGTGCTTTCTGTTTTGGTGTTTAGGCTGGTGGATTGTAACTGTGTTTTAAAGACATCCTCTTTTATCTTTGCTTTTCATTTCAGATTAATCTTAAACCAAGAATGTGCTATTGCAAGTGTAGCTTAGCTCCAAACATTTGCTTCCAAAACTCTTTGAGGCCTGTAGCTAAACACTACCTGACATTACCAATGAAGGCTGTGTAGCCTAGATGTTTCATCTTAGCATCTTAAACTGATCAGCAGAAACTAATATATATATTTGGCACCACCATGGAAGTTGGATGGTCACAGTTAAATTCTGACTACAAGTTTTCAATTATTCTGGGAATCAGTGTACTGAAACAGGCAGCCAACACCCCTCTGAAGTCAATGGCTTTATTTTCTGAGCCTCCCAAAACTCAGAAAATTAAAGATTTTTTAAGGAATTTCATACGAAGACACAATTTAAATCTTAACAAGCTAGCTAACAAAAAAAGACGAGGTTCCTGTAGACTAGAAGGGTATTGCATTATGCAGTTAATGTGTAAGATCAGAGTCTGCTTTTTGGAATGTCATTACTGCTTGAAGTTTCCATTTCTTAGATGCTCACTGATAAAAATGTTCAGCTGCAATTGCTTTAGTTCTAAGCATAAAACACTGCAAAATCATTAAAACTATGTTACAGTGAGTGCCAAAAAAAAGTGAAATTAATTATAGCAATTATGATGTATGTATTGTGTCTGGAAAGCATGTTTAGGACCCAAAAATGCAAGCAAAAAAATTACTGTTAGAAATTTTCCTTTGCATTTTCTTTCAAAATCCTGCTTCTCTATGTCATGTGGGCCTTGAATTCTGCCCTGCACTGTGAGCAGAGAATGGTTGTAAAGAGACGTGTTGCTCTGTGTCACATAGGGGACAGCTGTGGTCCTGCATCAGTCTTCCCATGTTCTTCGTAGATGGGGAGGCTGCACAGCTGCCACTTCTGCTCCTCTCCTGACTTCTCTCTTGCAATGTCCCTGTCACCTCTGTGCAGCTCCTGTGCAATCTCACCAGGAAGTCCCCAGCAGGATGTGGAAATCCGTGTATTTGTGTCCTGGAGCCTATCTACTGTGTGAACCTTTCCTTAATATACATAACTTACTGTGTGAACATTTGTAACGTATGCAAATTGTATGAACCTCTCCTTAACAAATACAGATGTTTCCAAGCTGGGTTATGTCCATGAAATTAGAATGGTGCGTTACTGAGCCTGTTGGCCCACCAACTTCATAGCAAATGGTTTGCAAAAGAAAAAGCCTTTCACTCTTGTTCTCCAGCAGAGCTGTGAGATAAATAAAACTCTTACATTTGCCCAGACAAATCGTCCGTCTTTATAACTGTGCATCATTGTTTCATTTCATGTTAGTGCAAAAAAGCTTTCACATTCTCATACACAGGAAAAAATACACTTTTCAGCTTGTACTAATATTCTACATTGCCATTTCTGGTTTCTAGGTATTAGTTCTTGTTAATGGTGCTAGAATAACAGCAGAAGAAAAATAAAAATCTGGGTTTATCCAAAGGGAAAGTATGTGACTGCCAGCTCCAACAGAAGCTACCTGATGTTGCCAGCTAACACCTTGTGGAATTCTGCCCAGTGCATGAGTATGTTGTATGCAATCTGTCCTTCCCTTCGCTTCACCGCTGCTGGCAGTTACTTGATGGGAAGATGTTGTTCACGGCTTGGTCTATATTTTTCACCCACTCTTTGAAATCCCTTGCATGGGCCGCTGACAGATGCTCCCTGAGGCTGGCCTTTGACAATGTGCTTTTTCCAGTCTTACGTATAGATGCAGCATTATTTTTCCAAAGTAGGAATCGAAGCATTTGCTAAGGGATCAACCTGACTGCTTCATTTTCTTCATTGCCAACTCATGTCAGATCTAATGTGGAAATGAATGAAAGCTAGAAATGGCACTGGACTGGGTGGCTGAGACTGCAGAGACAGAGGAGGTGTGCAGCAACTGGAAAGAGAATGAATTTGTCTTTAAAATGTTGTATAATGAATCTGGGGAAAAATAACCCAAACAAGGG